AAAGAATAAAAAACAATTAGAGAAAATTGACAAATTGAGATGTTCAATCTGATAAGAGGTCCCTTAATTGGACTGCAACTTCAATATAAAACCGCCATTCTGGATGTCCATTTGGATTAATGACTCTAAAGTGACTGTGTCTCGAGCAGGGGCGGACTGACCATTGGGGGACTCGGGCACTACCCGAGGGCCCGGGGTCAGTAGGGGGCCCCTTGAGATGTTCCTGGTACCTTTCACAGGCTTTTTTGTGTGTGGTTTGAGTGTGGGTGAGGACACAGGGGCCCCATGATCCCCTATTGCCCGGGGGCCCCATGAGTTGTCAGTTCGCCCCTGGTCTCGATCTCAGAAAACTCGAGGCACCCTGCAAAAGAATAAGAGTACCTGCTCGCCCGATGGCTATTCTAGTCATTGCTTTCTTGCAGAGTTATGGACCCACAATGGTATGTGACACTTACAGGCAAGTTGGGGTGGTATGATGTGGTTGCTCCTGCTAACCCTTAGTGGTTCAACACCACGCATCACCCAGTTCCAAGGTATAGAGAGTGAAGAGAGGAGCCAGCTCCAGCTCCTGACAGCCATGACCATTCGGGGTTAAAGCTGTTTGGTGAGTGGCGTTCAACCACCATGGATTCATAGAGCTATCTGGATGAGCACACTCACAGCAGCATCCTTTCTTAAAGTGGGATATTTGAGCAATAGCATCTAGTGCTTGGAACTGCACTCCACCAAGTCTTCCCACTAACCATCAGTGCAAGACACTGTCAGGGCTCCGGGGTGTGACCAGAGGTCTGTGACTGACGCAGGGAAACGCAGGCTTCAGATAAGTTATAAACAATATAATTTATTAAAGACTAACAATACAAACATAAACGCAGTGCAATACTAAAACAAAACACAGTACAAACGAACCAAACCACCCACAGATAACAGTACATATAATGCAAGCGGGTCAATAACAATCGGGCAGGTAGGTACAGGGGGTCAGGCAGAGAATGGTCGGGGTCACAAGTCAGGGATAAAACAGGAGAAGTCAGCAGAGGTCCGGATCAGGCAGGGTCAGCAACGAATCAGACAGAGACAGGAACAGGAAGAGGAACAGGATACAGGGCCCAGGAAAAAACACACACCAAGGCAGAGACTGCAGGTCTGGCCATCCCTTAAATACACCTGCATGATCAACTTCAGGTGTTTGGCTGGCTGCAGGGTTGAGTCTCTGATTGCTGGGAGCACCCGCTGGCCAGCCCTGGTACTGCAGCCCACAAGGCAGGTGAATCCCACCATTACTGGCAAGTCCATTCCTGACAGGCACATGGCTTGGGTAGGGCAGATTACTGAGAAAAAAGATGGATACCATAAATATCAAGCTGACCCCATTATAACCACCACTACCACCACAATATTACAGTCTCTCAACCTTTTTACCATGGAGGAAGCCTTAATGTAATATTCAGGTTCAAGAGAACCCCTGTTAAAAATGATATATATTCACAGCTTATGATACATTATCCAAACCACACTAGTAGTTAATGAAGGCATCTGTGCACTCCTGGTAGGCGGAAAGAATGCCCTACTGCACTGGTGGTCAATGAAAACAAAAAGCCCATTTCAGTGGTGGTTAGTGTAGGGCTTAGATACATAACGGGGAAGTGAGAATGCTTCTGACATTGGTGGTCAGTAAAAAAATGCCCATTACAGTGGTGGTCAGTGTAGGGCTTAGATACATAACGGGGAAGTGAGAATGCTTCTTACATCGGTGGGCAGTGAAGACCACTTTTTGCTACTCGGCGCTGCACTAATTCAACTGATAATTGCGCGGTCATGCAATTCTGCTTCCAAACGAAATTTACGTCCTTTTTTCACACAAATAGAGCTTTCTTTCGGTATTTGATCACCTGTACGCTTTTTATTTTTCACGCTATAAACAAAAAAAGACCAAATATTTTGAAGAAAAATGATATTTTTTACTTTCAGCTATAAAAAAATAAATAGTAAACTCAAAGTTGGTTATAAATTTAGGCCAAAATGTATTCTGCTCCATGTTTTTGGTAAAAAATCCCAATAAGTGTATATTGATTGCTTTGTGTGAAGTTATAGCGTCTACAAACTATGGGAGAGATACTGCAATTTACGCCATTTTTCTGCTATACAGCGCTGCGCTAGTTTAACGGACAATTGCGCGGTCATGCACAACGGTACATAAATGAAATATACATCCTTTTTTTCCCACAAATTGAGCTTTCTTTCGGTGGTATTTGATCACCTGTGCGGTTTTTATTTTTTGCGCCATAAAAAAAAAAGGCTGACAATTTTGAGGAAAAAAAACAATATTTTGGACTTTTTGCTATAAAACATGTCCAGTAAAAAAAAATGTAAAAATCAAATTTAGTCATAAATTTCGGCCAAAATGCATTCTGCGACGTGTCTTTGCTACAAAAAATAAACCCAATACGTGTAAATTAATTGGTTTACGTGAAAGTTATAGCGTTTACAAATGGCGGGAAAGATACTGGGATTTTTAGTTTTTTTTTTATACTAATAATGGGGCGATCAGCGAATTATGGCGGCGACCAGTGACCTATGGCGGCGATCAGCGAGTTATGGTGGGACTGCGGCGGACATTCTGACATTGGGGGGTACTGACTTGGGGTCACTGACATCCCCAAAAACACTAATACAGTGATCAGTGCAAACCAAAAAAACACTGACACTGTACTAATGGCACTGGGGAGGAAGGGGTTAACTTTATTTTTCAGGGAAGGGTTATAGGAGTGAGGGGAGTGTTTTACTAGGGGGGGGAGGGTGTGTACTTCACGGGACAAGGCTGATCGGGAGAGAGAAACTCTTCTGTCTCGAACAGCGTGTCCTGGAGCTGTCAGGGAAGTGACAGAAAGCACAGCTACTGCAGCTGTGCTCTCTGTCAGCGATTGCTGCCGATCGCCAGGTACATAGCCGGTAAGGACCGGCTGTGACCCGGCGACTGACATCTGCGGCTGTGATCAGCGGGACGGGTAGGGCGGCGGCACGTCTCGCGCGCGCCCCCTACCTGTTTTCAGAACACACGTTTTAAAACGTGCTTTTGCCTAGCCGTGCCGCCCTGCCGCCGTATTTCTACAGTGTCTGGGCGGCATGTGGTTAAAGGGAAAGCCAGAGGTTGCTACCAGGTCAGACTGCTTGGATTAATAATAAAAAAAAAACAAAAAAACAAAAAACACAATCTAATAACAAATGAGTACAAAACTGAATTAATTTGTCTTTTATATTCAGCTCTAATGGTATAATAATTAAGATGTGTTAAAATTCATCTGGCAGCCTCTGGCTTCTTCCGACTCTACAAATTAATAGAAAGAGCTTAGTCATGCGTGAGGACGTTTTCACAACACAATTTACTGTAATGCTTGACATCGACTTTCACTTCGTTTTTTTCCCAGAAGTTTTGGGGGAGGGAGGTGTGTTACATGTGCACCGTGGCTCGCTACAATGCAGTCGCTGCAGGGGCATTGCCTTAGTGCCTTGGTGTTACATTGATGATGAATGACATCACAAAGCAACATCATGAAAATATAAATCCAGACTTAATACCATTTCAATACTCATTTCCAATACCTTCAAAATCTGCAGCTTTCATGAAATAATTCCGGGTGAATCCACCATGAGGTTCCTTGTTCAAGGACCTCCTCTTGTAGGGTGACAACGCTCTGTCCCTGTCTTCTAACTGTGCTCATGCGTTGCCACCCGGCCACATGGACTTCTGATGGAGATGGCTTCTTCAGTTCATTGTAGCCACCATCCGGAAACTGAACCCAAGAAATGCCATCATTAGATACTCTCAGAATGGATGCATGGCATTTCCCACGTTGTACTCTTCTCATCTACTGCTCTTCTGCTACAGGTCCCATCTCACACCGCCATCTTTGTTTCCTTTATCATTGGGAGCCAGCTTTGTCTTCCTAGTTCTCGTGGCCATCATACTGACAAGGAGGCAGAAGTGCCACCATGTTTTTTTAGTTTACTTGTTGCCATGACATCCAAGCAAGCTATCCCTGGATGAAACCATAGCCTCCTGGTTTGTCACCCTTGACTAGGTGAGGTATAAGGAGATTGGAGGGGCAGTACTGAGCATGTCTGCGGAAACTGAAATGGTGACGGTGACCTTTTGCACATTGCCTGTCCAAGCAGCCTTAGAAGTTGAAACGGGATTGCCAAGGGTAATGGAAAGGCACCCGGGTGCAGACACTGCAGACTAGAACCTGAGAGCACTGGTATCCGGTGACCAGGAGTACAGCTTAGTCGGGTTCCATTCTTGGTCTAGTAGAAGCCGAGCAAGAGGGCACCAAGCTGTAGACAAGAGACAGAGCCAGACACAGGCAAAGGTTGGTAATGAGCAGGCAGTGAGGCATGAATCCACTAGACAGGAGCATAGTCAGTAGGGTTTGGGCGATAGCAGAGGTAGACAGTGAACAAGCAGACAAGGGTAATGCAAACGTGAGGTCAGGTGGAAGCCAGGTCAGTCACAGAATCAGAACAATTATCAGTTACAAGAACACAGAAGCAAGACTGCAGACCATACAAAGAGCTTGTGCAGAGCTCAGGTTTAAATAGCTGACATGGTGGCAGTGGACATGTTCATAAGTCCGTATGTGCTTGTGATCATGTGTGTGCTTAAAGTGATGCATATGCACTTAGAGAATTTTTCCCACTGACCCCCAATGTAAGGGACATTCTTCCCACTGACCACCAATGTAAGGGACATTCTTCTCACTGACCCCCCAATGTAAGGGACATTCTTCCCACTGACCTCCAATGTAAGGGACATTCTTCCCACTGACCCCCAATGTAAGGGACATTCTTCCCTCTGACCTCCAATGTAAGGGACATTCTTCCCACTGACCACCAATGTAAGGGACATTCTTCCCACTGACCCCCAATGTAAGGGACATTCTTCCCACTGACCCCCAATGTAAGGGACATTCTTCTCACTGACCCCCAATGTAAGGGACATTCTTCCCACTGATCACCAATGTAAGGGACATTCTTCCCACTGACCCCCAATGTAAGGGACATTCTTCCCACTGACCTCCAATGTAAGGGACATTCTTCCCACTGACCACCAATGTAAGGGACATTCTTCCCACTGACCCCCAATGTAAGGGACATTCTTCCCACTGACCCCCAATGTAAGGGACATTCTTCTCACTGACCCCCAATGTAAGGGACATTCTTCCCACTGATCACCAATGTAAGGGACATTCTTCCCACTGACCACCAATGTAAGGGACATTCTTCCTCACTGACCCCCAATGTAAGGGACATTCTTCCCACTGACCGCCAATGTAAGGGACATTCTTCCCACTGATCCCCAATGTAAGGGACATTCTTCCCACTGACCCCCAATGTAAGGGACATTCTTCCCACAGTGATCACCAATGTAAGGGACATTCTTCCCACTGACCCCCAATGTAAGGGACATTCTTCCCACTGACCACCAATGTAAGGGACATTCTTCCCACTGACCCCCAATGTAAGGGGCATTCTTCCCACTGACCCCCAATGTAAGGGGACATTCTTCCCACTGATCCCCCCAATGTAAGGGACATTCTTCCCACTGATCCCCCCAATGTACGGGACATTCTTCCCACTGAGCCCAATGTAAGGGACATTCTTCCCACTGACCCCCAATGTAAGGGACATTCTTCCCACTGACCCCCAATGTAAGGGACATTCTTCCCACTGACCCCCAATGTAAGGGACATTCTTCCCACTGACCACCAATGTAAGGGACATTCTTCCCACTGACCCCCAATGTAAGGGGCATTCTTCCCACTGACCACCAATGTAAGGGACATTCTTCCCACTGACCCCCAATGTAAGGAACATTCTTCCCACTGACCCCCAATGTAAGGGACATTCTTCCCACTGACCGCCAATGTAAGGGACATTCTTCCCACTGACCTCCAATGTATGGGACATTCTTCCCGTTGTAGCACTACCCCCTTAGGAGTCGCTAGAAGCCAGGCATCACACATTTCCACAGAAGTTTGCACCCAGAGTCAGAAATCAGTCATTGAGCTTCAGTTTTATTGTTTTATTGAGGAACTGGGATAGGGTGAGGGGTGCACAGGGTGCAAAAAGGAACCGACAGACTGAGGACAACTTCCTGGAACTATTTACAAGCCTTCTCTGCAGCACAATCTCTGTTGGAGAGCTAGCCAGCGCCTCCTTAGTATACCAACCCAGACCCTAAATTAACTTTTCTTCTTCACCCAACAATCTGGAGGTATCCCTGAGCAGGGGATCCGGTTCCTGTCATTTTAAAAGATGAATAGTCACTGGTAGATAACTCATCTGGTTTCCCACCACACTCCTGTCCAGCTCCAGGCCTGCAGGTAGGTCCCATCCCACTGGTCCTCATTGCATCCTCCTGCTCTCAGCCTCACATCTTCCACCCAAACTCTCCTCCAACTCTCCTGCAGCTGAGCAGGCTCCAACACTTTTAAGGGTGTCCAGCCCCTTGCCAACTTCTTGTTAGGGATTGGCTAGGACCCCTCAAGAGTGCATCCATCCACTGCCTCTAGGGCCTCCCTTCAAAGCCCTAGAGCAGAGGAAAATTCCAGAGGGGCTGGCCTGCAGCGCCTCTCAGCCCTGACCACAATTTGACCCCTCTCTGGCTATTACACCTGGGCTGCTGCTTAGTCCCTGTCTAACCATTGGAGTCCAGTTCCCCTTAGCTAAACTAGGAGGGTGCTAAACTCTTAACCACTAACATAAGAGGAATTTTCCCATTGGCCCCCATTTTACGGACCATTCTTCCCACTGATGACCAATGTAAGAAGCATTCTTCCCACCGACCACCAGAGTAAGGGACATTTTTCCCACTAGCCCCCAATATAAGGAGCATTCTTCCCACTAATTACCAAGAAGAAGCTTTCTTCTCATTGACCACCAAAGTGAGGGACATTCTTCCCACGGACCACCAATGTAAGGAACATTCTTCCCACTGACCACCAATGTTAAAGGTGTTCTACCCAATGACCACCAATGTAACACAGCATTCTCCTCAATGATCACCAATGTATAGGGGAATTCTCCTCAATGATTACCAATGTAAAGGGGTATTCTCCTCAATGATCACCGATGGAAGGAACATTCTTCTCACTGACCACCAATGCAAAAGGTGTTCTACCCAATGACCACCAATGTAACGCAGCATTCTCCTCAAAGATCACCGATGTATAGGGGAATTCTCCTCAATGATTATGAATGTAAAGGGGCATTCTCCTTAATGATCACCAATAGAAGGGACATTCTCCTCAATGATCACTGATGGAAGGGACATTCTTTTCACTGACCACCAATGTAAAAGGTGTTCTACCCAATGACCACCAATGTAAAAGGTGTTCTACCCAATGACCACCAATGTAAAAGGTGTTCTACCCAATGACCACCAATGTAACGCAGCATTCTCATTAATGATCACCGATGTATAGGGGAATTCTCCTCAATGATTATGAATGTAAAGGAGCATTCTCCTTAATGATCACCAATGTACAGAAGAGTTCTTCTCAATGATTACCAATGTAAAGCAGCATTCTCCTTAATGATCACCAATAGAAGGGACATTCTCCTCAATGATCACCAATAGAAGGGACATTCTCCTCAATAATCACTGATTGATGGGACATTCTTTTCACTGACCACCAATGTAAAAGGTGTTCTACCCAATGACCACCAATGTAACGCAGCATTCTCCTTAATGATCACCGATGTATAGGGGAATTCTCCTCAATGATTAACGATGTAAAGGGACATTCTCCTTAATGGTCACCAATGGAAGGAACATTCTCCTCAATGATTACCGATGGAAGGGACAATCACCTCAATGATCACCGATGGAATGGACATTCTACTCAATGATCACCGATGGAAGGGACATTCTCCTCAATGATCACCGATGGAAGGGACATTCTCCTCAATGATCACCGATGGAAGGGACATTCTCCTCAATGATCACCGATGGAAGGGACAATCACCTCAATGATCACCGATGGAATGGACATTCTATTCAATGATCACCGATGGAAGGGACATTCTCCTCAATGATCACCGATGGAAGGGACATTCTCCTCAATGATCACCGATGGAAGGGACATTCTCCTCAATGATCACCGATGGAAGGGACAATCACCTCAATGATCACCGATGGAATGGACAATCACCTCAATGATCACCGATGGAAGGGACAATCTCCTCAATGATCACCGATGGAAGGGACATTCTCCTCAATGATCACCGATGGAAGGGACATTCTCCTCAATGATCACCGATGGAAGGGACATTCTCCTCAATGATCACCGATGGAAGGGACATTCTCCTCAATGATCACCGATGGAAGGGACATTCTTCTCACCTATGTAAAAAGCACTCTTCCTATTGACCACCACACTAATTCACCATGACATAGACATAGTAATTATTAGCCGGGGGTCCCTGAGACCTAAAAGTAATTTCAAGGGTTCCTCCATCATAAAAAGCTTACTAAAGGCTGGCTTGCACTGTTGTATTTGTACATAAGGTTTTGTTGTATTGGCCCGGCTACATCCTGTCCCTGTTCCTTCATCTGATCTCATCTTATTAGAACCGTAATGCTATCGGATTTGTCAGTTCTCTAGAACGGTTATCATTGATAAAAATAGCCGCAATAAAAAGGAAATAAAGTTGAGAAATGCAGCTCTATTGGCACCACATTGGTCTTAGCAATCTAATAAAATGTAGTTGACTTGGAAACGTAAGCAGATCTGCTCAGTGACCACAAAAGAGGAAGAACCATTATTTTCTATGCACAATAAGCAGAGTGTCATTGAACTGTGTCTTCTGTCAGTGTTTGATGTAGAGAAAGGACACAAAGTGGTTGTGCTGAACACTGCGCACATTTCCTGTAGCTGGGGGTCTGGCTGCCATGCTCAGAAGGTGGACTTATCTGCTGATCACCATCTGTCAGGTCTACGGACTGGAAACCAATGACAGCTCTGCTGGTACAACAGGTACGATGAAATGTAGACTATTTCAGCCTTTGATACATTGAATATTATAAGTAAATAGATACAATGCCTTTCAATTATACACAGGAGCATTTGCATGGGGGGGGGGGGGGGGGGTTACCAGGATAGGGGGCATGATCTACTTTATAGCAGTGGAGCTTGAAGTTCAAAGATAGTTTTCCTGTCAGCAGAGGGCGGGCCAAGAAAATGAGCAGCCTTTAACAGGGTATTGTGGGGGGGGGAGGGGGTGCCTGGATCTTGTTGCCACCCGCTTTCCCTCTGTGCCAAGGCTAGTGATGGAGGGACTGTGTTCCACCAATTGCTGTCTACATGGAACAATAGACTGCTGCTGTGCTGAAGGACTCCCCAAGATGGCCAAAGCCCAACAAGTCTGTCCTCTGCGGTAGGCTTTGGGACATCTTGGCCAACAATGTAACGCAGCATTCTCCTCAATGATCACCAATATATAGGGGAATTCTCCTCAATGATTATCAATGTATAGGGGAATTCTCCTCAATGATAACACAGCATTCTCCTCAATGATCACCAATGGGGTATTCTCCTCAATGATCTCCAATAGACAATTCTCCCAATAGACGGGACATTCTCCTCAATGATCACCAATGGAAGGGACATTCTCCTCAATGATCACCACTGGAAGGGACATTCTCCTCAATGATCACCAATGGAAGGGACATTCTCCTCAATGATCACTGAATGAAGGGACATTCTCCTCAATGATCACTGATTGAAGGGACATTCTCCTCAATGATCACCATTAGACGGGACATTCTCCTCAATGATCACCAATGGAATGATTCTCCTGATTGAAGGGACATTTCTCAATTCACTGATTGAAGGGACCACCTCAATGTAAAAGGGTTCTCCTCAATGATCACTGATTGAAGGGACCCAATGACCACCAATGTAACGCAGCATAACGCAGCATTCTCCTTAATGATCACCATTGTATAGGGGAATTCTCTTCAATGAATATGAATGTAAAGGAGCATTCTCCTCAATGATCACCAATGTACAGGGGAGTTCTTCTCAATGATTACCAATGTAAAGGGACATTCTCCTCAGTGATCACAAATAGAATGGACAGTCTTCCCACTGACAACCAATGTAAAAGGTGTTCCACCCAATGACCACCAATGACGCAGCATTCTCCTCAATGATCATCAATGTATAGATGAAATGTTGACTATTTCAGCCTTTGATACATTGAATATTATAAGTAAATAGATGCAATGCCTTTCAATTATACACAGGAGCAATTGCATGGGGGGGAGGGGGGGGGGGGTTACCAGGATAGGGGGCATGATCTACTTTATAGCAGTGGAGCATGAAGTTCAAAGATAGTTTTCCTGTCAGCAGAGGGCGGGCCAAGAAAATGAGCAGCCTGTAACAGGGTATTGTGGGGGGGAATGGGGTGCCTGGATCTTGTTTAAACAAAATAATATAAATGGTGAAGCGCTCAACTTAAAAAATATATAAGAATAATCTCATACCCAAATCAATGTGCAAACTGAATAATCAAATATACATGAAATAACTAGTGCAATATCCCCATATATGGATTATACGTCCCTGGTGATATAGTGATAAACAACTAATACTTTTTAAACTGTGCAAAGTGATATAAACAAAAATAATTAATATAAATACAAAAATCAATTGTGATGCCACACTGTGCAAAATCATAAAAGTGTTCAAATGACATCACTCCATGCTGCAATGTGCTCTTCGTGAAAAAATCTTGACGTGACTCCCCTCAATGATAGCCAAAATGCCCCCTCACCTTCCACCTTCGACCCTTGCGGGTCACAAAGCTTT